ATATACAATAAATAAAATAATTTAGTGTTCCATGTTGCAATCCAAAAAAGGAAACAAAATGGTCATAAAGGTGGTTGCAAAGACGGTAGCAACCATCATCAAAAGTTGCAGCCAGTATCCTTAAAATAATTAATATTGAATTTCATATTGCTAATGTTTTACATATGTCATAGATTTTATCATTTATCTATTAAACAAGAATTATCCCAAGACCGGAATGTTTACTAAGTAGTGACACATAAAAAACAATTATTTGTTTGAGCAAAGGAATAAGAACAGATAACAAAATTTTACCTATACAATTGTTGATTGACCAATCAAAATCGTGAATTTGATAATGTAAAATATGATTCATTTTGTCAACAATTACTTCACCAATGGTTGTTACATTAACAAATGGTTCAAATTCAAGAAGTTGGAAGCAACCCTTTGAAATATATAGTCTAATAAATTAAATTGTACTACTCGAAAATGTATTTAAAGGATTAGTTTTCAACTTGGTTGAAGAATAACTCTCTTCCTAACTCTTCTCTTGACCATAACTCTTGATATAATCAAAATAACCTTAACATAATGAATGTTGATGAAATGTAAACATGACCAATTTAAGGTATATGATTAAGACAAAACATGAACAATGCATGAAAAAACAAATTTATTAATAAAAACAAAATTTACAACTCAAAAAATGTTTTTTTGCATTTTTTTAATAAAATTTCCATCGTTGCTGGATCATCTGTTGCTGATTCAACATTACCCGAATCATCATCCACTGCATTTTCATTATATCAATAAATTTAATCTTTTCATCATACTTTCTTTTAGTGCATTGACATTTTTTTGATTTTGACTTGAAGATAGTCCAAACACATCAAACATTTAGATTGGCACCTTTGTAGACAATGATTGTGATAACCATGTCCACATGAGAGTATATGCACTACAATTATTCAAAATTAGTATAGTTAGTTTACATTCAACATTTTACCATATACATACTAATTGTTTATTACCATAATGACTACTAGTCTTTTAATGATTTAAGGAATAAAGAGAAAAGAGAAAAATATTTGATATTGGAACATATTATTTTTAAAAAACTTATTGAAAGACTTGGAGAATCTCCCAAGAGTGATGAAGAAAGCCCAGATTTTAATGTGAAGTATTGAATTAAAATACTTTTAATGCAAAGTTAATTCAAAACTCTCATACTTTTTTTATTAGAGTAATATCATACTAAAACCTGAAGGCACAAAACATATAAGTTTGTCAGAAAGTACTAAGAATACCAGAAAAGGATTTAAGAACTTATAAGGCATCTTTAATAATACTTTATAGTATTAATTTAAATGAAACCTACTTATATTATTGACATTCTCTTACAGAATCAAATGTCTAAATATTTGAAAAGAGAAGGTATAGATTTTTGAATGACTAAATTCAAAGATCTTGACCAAAAAATAATATTGTTTTGCATTAAAGGGTAGATAGTTTTAAATTATTTGCAATTTATTATGAACAACATTTGGTTTATTCACAAAAAAATTGATTAGTATTTTCAAAAATTTGAGAATCTCACTTTTCCCAATAATCTTTTTTTTTATATTGAGTAAAAAATGTTTAAAATAATTAGTAAAGATTATCCAATTTTTCTAGTTTCAGTTTGCTCTTTAAAAGAGAATTTACGTTTTGGCAACTTTTCTCAAAACTAGTGGGAAATCAAGACAAACCAATAATAATTCAAATTATTTTTATTTGTGTCCTATTTGTTTTGCATGAAAACATCAGTTATTCCTAATGTGACAATTTTTTATTACTTTCAAGAATATGATATATGTTATGATCTTTTAAACTACTTGTCTGAGAAATCAGAATATGGGTTCATTAGATAAATTTTTTTTTTCTTCATAACAGTAGTATTAAATATTTTACATGCCACAGTCCATTAGAATTATTTGAATTTCTACTAGTAGGTAGTTGGGCATTAAAAGAAGTCCAAAAATATGAGAAGAAGGGTAGTGGTAAATGTATACCAAAAAAAATTCTTAGAGGTGGAAATTGCTCCCAAATGTATGGTGCGTATCACCTATACTCATCAAAAATTTTCATGTGACTTCTAACTGTATCTAGTCCACCAATTTTAAAAA